ATTCTATCTAACCTGTTAAAGACGCAGCATTTTGTTTACAACGGTTGTTGGGGTACGACTTATTGCAGATCTCTGTCTAGATAATCCTGGCTCCCCAAATTTATCCATATTCCTTTGTTTCCCACTGTAGGGATATCTCCATCTTGGAAGTTCCCGACCTGAACATGTCTTTATGTCCTGAGTGTATTAATATTTTGCATCGGAGAGGGCTGTTACACACCCTTCCCAAAAGCAATCAATTTTCGGTGGTATGACACTACCTGCCTACAAAATATCAAATCTAGTTGTAATACAAGTCATTCCACCGCGACTTTATGTCTGCTGTAGTTGTCACGTAACAAGCTGATTTTTATATTCAAAATCACTTTAATCAGATATTGAAACTGACTAGGCCTAGTGCCTAATGGGTGCCGTGATTGTTTAATAAAGAATAAATTATAGCACCTGTTCGTAATTAATACATGATAAAAGTGTAAACTTTCTGTAAATTGTTAGATTTAGCAACTTGTTTATACACATGTTTGTTACACTTATATCGTAATATTATTCCAATTAGTCAAAACGTTTTAGCATTCAACATAGCACGTAACTGGCCTATTTACTGATATATGTATGCCTGTGTGTGTGCAAGTCATGTGATGAGCCAAGAGGGCCCTAACAGTGCTATGGTTACTCTAGTAGTATGTACGCCAATGGTAAGCAATGAGTCCTGAGAATTATCTGTCGATCCTAACAATGATTTATATTCCTCTAATCCTGAGATCAGGAACAAAATATCAGAATACTTGATGTACCAAAGAAAGTTCAGGTAAGAGAGTGTTTGTTTTTTGTTGTGTGTGTGTGTGTGTTGTTTTTTGTCGTTTTTTGTTGTTGTTGTTGTTTACAAATAGAAAGAACAATTAAAACGCATTCAAAGATTTACAAATGAGCAATATTTCTCTATTTACTAGTAGACATAATACATAGAAGTAACATTATGAGACAAATATGTTGAAAAATGTTTACAGCTTGTTTGCAAGCGCTATTAACTCAACTGTAAGTGCAAATTTAAACTAGGATAAACAGTGGAAAGGGACAGTATAATGAAGAAAAATAAGATTTAGAGAGGGGCATAAGTGTAGAAACAAGATATAAATGTACTTTTAATTGTAGGCCAAACTACTGTTATTGCAATACTAGAAATATAAGAAATAAAATGGATGACTTTAGACCTGGTCGGAACAAAGAATTTTGATATATGGGAATAGCTGAAACCTAGTTAAATGTAGACATTTATGATGAAAGGAATTTCTTTGAAATACAGGGTTATAAGTTAGTTAATGGGGATAGATTACTAGAAAGAGGGAGGGGAGTTGGTTTATATGTAAAAATGTGAATTAAAACCTATTCAAACCGAGGATATCAAAGCCAGAGGCGGTCGCTAGGCGCTAGTACATGGGATCCGTGATCCGAATCTCCAGTTGGTGTATTAAAAATCAGAATAGAAACCATGATCGATATCATAATGAAATGCCGAAAATTCTCGCGTCTAAGGGCCTGAGCCCCGAATCTTTTAAGCACCTAGCGACGTCTCTGGTCAAAGCTAATAGCAATGAGGTTGAATCTATTTGGATTTCTGTTTGTGGTTATAAGGGTAGAAGGCTTTTAGTTGGAATTTGCTACAGACCACCAGATGAAACTGATGAAATTCTACAGGGAGATAAAGAATTCAACTGTCAATAAAGTTATAATTATGGAATATTTTAATTTTAGGCATATAGGTTGGGAAATGTTAGAGTCGAAGTCATGTTTTTAGAAAGTACTCAGGATTTTCTACAACAATTGGTTAGGAAACATATTAGGAATGATGCTATTTTAAATCCATTGTTGTATTCTAAATAATTTTAATTATTGATAGAGTAGAGACTGGGGAACATCTGGGTGCAAGTGATCATTGCTCAATTAGCCTTGATGTTTTGCTGCATATGGAGATAAAGACATATGGGGCTGATAATTATGGGATGGCTGGGTTATTAAATTCTACTCTTCCTTTAGTTTTTACTAAGGAAGATTTAAGCAGTATTCCTCAACCTGAACAACTGCTAATGGAAAACAAGGTTGAACAAAATGGTCACATAAATTCCGAGCTTGTTAAAAACATTGAGAAATTTAAAGAATGATAAAATACGTGTGCCATATAATGTTTACCCAAGGTTTTGAAAGAGATTAAGATCTAGTTATGTGAGCCATTTGCTATTACATTTCCTTAGTTCTTGAATAGCGGGCAGGTGCCAGAAGATTGGAAGTTGGTTAATGTTTTAATGTTACTCATCTTTTCAAGGGAAGTGATAAAATTTGCCCCAGAAATTATAGACCTGTTAGTCTTACATAAGTGGTGGGAAATGTTTTAGAAATTCTGACAAAAGATGCTTTGCAAAGTCATTTATCAAAGTTTAAAATTTCGTTGGATAGTCAGCATGGTTTAACTATAGAAAACCTTGCCTTACTAACTTTTATACATTATTTGAAGAGGTTACTGCTTATTTAGATGAGGGTACAGGTGTGGAGCCTTTGGATTTTCAGAAAGCACTTAACAAGGTGCCACAGAAAAGGGTTGTTAAAAAGTTATTTCTGTAGGTGTGGGAGATAAGTTGGCTCATTTATTAAAAAAACTGATTGATAAACGAAAGCAGAGGGTTGCTATGAATGGAGTTCAGACAAATTAGATTAATGTCACGGATGGGGTATCTCAGGGCTCAGTGTTAGGACCACTGCTCTTTTTGATTTACATAAATTACATAGTGGTCAATAGATTATATTATTTGACATTATTATTAATGACATTAAAGTTTTGAGCGTTGCTGGCTGTGAAGAAAATAACTTATTTGGTGAGTTGGGCAAATAAATGGTAGATGACTTTTAATTATAATAAATAGTGTTAACATTAATAGTGTTAATGCATGTTCTTTTTTCATACTTAACGGTGAGAATGGTAAGCTTAAGGGATACAAATATAAATTTTGGCAGGGAAGAAGTCATCTACAGCTAAAACAACTCAATTTTTGCAAAAGGTAGTTGGACTCTGTAACGGATTGTGTGATATCGCAATTTGAATTATGAGTATAATTTTGATGTGAATAATCTTAACAACGTTAAGGAAGAATAAGATCTTGGTGTTATGGTTGATGAATCTCTTAAGTCACCCAATCA